CCCAGGGAGGCCCCCCCACCATCATCCTGGTGTGACACCGCCACCCCGGGGTGACCCCACCACCATCATCCCAGGATGACCTCACCACCATCACCCCAGGATGACCCCACCACCCTGGGGTGACCCTACCACCAAGCAAGGAGCACCCGTGGGTGCTGTGAGTGGGGACTCACCAGTGGCCCGTGGGGGGGACGAAGTAGACGCATCCATGGACCCGGGTGTCTGGGATCTTCCTCTTGCGGGTGATGAGGATCTCCTCACGGAGGTACCTCTCGTACTGCTCGTTGATGTATTTGATGATGGGGTCCCAGCTGAGGATGAGGAGTTGGGGGACAGAATCGGAACTCAACACCCACCCCCCCCTCCAAAAATTGCCACCCACCAAGCTCAGATGCCACACCCCATTGTGTCCTACCAGTTGTTGTTGTTGATCTGGTCCCCGAAACCTGGTGTGTCCGTCACCGTCAGCTTCATCTTCACACCCTTCTCCTCAATGACTGTGGAGCAGAGATGTGGGTCAGTGGGGAGCAAACATCAGGGAGAAGCAGGGGACCGGTCCCCTGCTTCTCCCCATGGTTGGTGGGACATGACCCCATGGTGGTGACCTTACCATGGGTGACAGACTGGAGCTGCACCGTCTTGGGGATGCGTTCCTCCTGGCCGGGTTGCGAGGCTTTGCGGCTCACCTTGGACTTGAAGAGGGTGTTCACCATTGTTGACTTCCCCAGCCCGCTCTGCCCTGTGGGGACACCGATGGCTCCAGTTTATCCCTCCCCTCCCCATGATAAATTAACCCCCTCCCCCCAGGTCAATGACACCTCAGCATCCATTTGGGACCGTCCCAGAGACTGGGATAGCTCTGGTTTCTCCTCCACAATCAATTTATTCCCTCCGGGCGATACCCAGGTAACCCTTGGTACCCATTTGGGAGCATCCTGGAAGTTTGGATAACTCTGGTTTGTGTCCGTCCGTCCCCCTCTCCCCTCAATAAACGTATTCCTTCAAGGTGATAACAGCTCAGTATCCATTCGGGAGCATCCCAGAGGTTGGAATAGCTCCTCTGGTTTATCCCCCCCAGTAAGTTTATTCCCCAAGATGATAACACCCCGGTACCTATTTGGGAGCATCCCGGAGGTTGGGATAGCTCTGGTTTATCCCCCAGGATGATAACACCTCAGTACCCATTTGGGAGCATCCCAGAGGTTGGAATAGCTCCGCTTTATCCCCCCAATAAATTTATCCCCCCAGCTGATAACTCCTCGGTACCCATTCAGGAGCATCCCGACGGTTGGGATGAGCTCACCCATCAGCATTGCTACACTATCAGGTACGGGACGCTGCTCCCCTTCAATTTTTTTTGCTGCTTAAATCCCTTAGAATCCCATAAAAGCGCCATCTCCCCCAGCCCGGCGGCATCAGAGCCCGGATTCCCGCCCCAAAGCGGGACCAAACCCTGTGACCGGTGCTCACCCACGACCATGATGTTGAACTCAAAGCCCATCTTCATGGTTTTGATTTTCATCTGGTCGAGGACGGCTTCGATTCCCACGTAACCGAAGAGCTGGCAACCCGCCGGGCCGGACGCCGCCGTGAGGGGCTTCTCCTCCCCCTCC